TAGTTTGCACTGGTGAGGCCACACCTGGAATCCTGTGTACAGTTTTGGGCCCCTCACTGCAAGAAAGACATTGGTATGCTGGAGTGTGTCCAGTGATGGAGGTGAGAAAGCAGGTGGAGCACAAGTCTGATGAGGAGCAACTGAGGGAGCTGGGGGTGTTTAGCCTGGAGAAAACGAGGCTCAGGGGAGACCTTCTTGCTCTCTACAACTACCTGAAAGGCGGTTGTATTGAGGTGGGTGTCCATCTTTTCTCTCAGGTAACAAGTGACAGGATGAGAAGAAATGGCCTCTAGTTGTGAGTGTGGAGGTTTAGATTGGAGATCAGGGGAAGTTTCTTCACCAAAAGGGGTGTCAAGCTCTGGAACAGGGTGCCCAGGGAAGTGATGGAGTCACCATCTCAGGAGGTATTCAGAAGAAGTATAGATGTGGCACTTGGTGACATGGTTTAGTGCTGGACTTGGCAGTGTTGGGTTAGCAGTTGAACTCAGAGGTCTTAAAAGTCTTTTGAACCTAAACAATTCTATGAGTCTATAATTGCACACCTTTTACGGACTGTCAGCTAACTACCCAGGCTTATAAGCATTGCTTGTTTTGGCATTGTTTTCAAATTATGCTTAGGATTAGACACATGTTGAAGTCGTTGCAGTGTTGTTACATGAAAAGCAAGGTCTTACAAGAGCAAACTTTGCCTAAGCTAGAGGTTATTTAGTTGTGAAGTTCAAGTCAATGAAGGAAGAAACTGTCAGTATCACTTTGCTTGTAGGGTAATACACTGTTACAGAAAGAATGTAAGTTTACAGATACTACTATATCTGACATACCAGTCTAGTTACTACCTTTTTTCACCATATTTCCAGTAGTTTTCAGTACATCTATAATTTATAAGTGCATAGCCGATGATTTAGGAAATGTATGCACTTGTCAAATGTACTCCTTGCTATCTTGATTCTTGCCATTGAAGTCAAGGGTAAAACTTGTGGGAGGAGAAGGCTTGTGTTGAGTGATTTGAAAATTCTGTGACCTTATGCATGTGATGTCAATGAGAGTAGCAGTGAACAGTAAAAAGCAAGATTCTCTACTAATGGTAAGAATCAATTCCAGCATATTTTGTGGTTTTCTTCACTTATGTTTTGATGTAACATAAAAAAATTATTAAAATAGTTACTTTCACAATACAAATGAATGTGCAAAGAAAAATTCCATTTTCAGGATCAGTTTCTTCTCCGACTGCCTGAAATGAAAATGAGGGATCAATTAATTGTATACTAATGCCTTTTTTTGTCTGACTAAATGGAAAAATAAAATGCAGACAAAATTTATAAAGACACAATCCTTTAGCAGACCATGGAAAGAGAACAAGAGTAAGCAACAGTTAGGAAAGAACTTCAGTGAATCAAACATCTTTGCTCTTTCTGTCTCTTCTGTGAAATTGTTTTTAATTGCTTCATAACTTGGCATTCTCTGCAGGTGTGCTATTACACATGAACTCCTTTATTCTAAAACTCTGTGGCATCTATACCAGAAATTGGAGCAACAGTCTCTAGCACTGGAATTAGGTTTGCCCCATTGATCCAACTGAGCAATATTGACTATGCTGGTATTGAAGTAATTCAGAGTTCTCAGAAGGCACTTTAGCGCTCTGGCTTATCTGTTAATGCTGCTTAAATCTTATATGGTCTTGTTTATTTTGCTTAATAATGATTGTTCAGAGATTTTAGAACATCACTTCTGTGAGATGCAGTGTGCTTTAGAGGTTGTATTATTAATTCCATTATGTGTCTCTGTCATCATTGTCATTAAAAGTAACAGTATCTATACCCTCCAAATAATTACCAGTAACCAATCCAAAAAGTAATAAATCCAGTCCTTCATATTTAATTTGTATTTCCACATCATTGCAAGATGAACCTGACCTGTATTTATGTCTTGATTACTGAGTAAAATGTATTTGTAAGGAATTGAGTATAAAAAAAGAGAAAAGGGAAGGCTTGAATTGTGATGGCTATGCTTTGGACTTACTTTCTGGGAAAGCAAAGCAGTTTCTGTTGTATTCTAAAGTTAAAGGATGAAATTCACAGAATAAAAATAAGCATCATATTCTGAGTTTCTTGATGTACAACATAGCCAATAAACTATTTGTAACTAGTCAAGAGCCTATTAAGAAGTTGATTAGTTATAATGCAGCTGCTAAGGAGGAACGCAAGGCATGTCAAATGAGAAAGTGAGCGCAGTCCACTTGTACCAAATTCTGGTGTCAATTCATAAAAAAAAAAAAGGAAAAAAAATTAAAGCAAATGAAAGAAAAAAGAAACAAACCCAACAAAAAACCCCCAACAAAACCCAAACCTTCAAACACAGCGAACCTGAAAGTTACCAAGTAGTTTAGGTCAGAGGAGGGAAAAGATCTGCTAATCAATTTAGGTAATACATCCAAGTGTAATCAAAGTAGAAAACTTAAGTAACTGAATTTGTTTCCACCACTTCAATCAGGTGAATAAATATACCAGTACAGTTTACTATGTTGTCTGGGTTTACAGCCTGTGCTACAGGTTGGCTTACCCTCTGTTATGCTAGGTTGTGGTTTACTCCCTTGTGGTGGTTTCCTCGGGCAAGTTTATAGTGATTGCTTGATTTCGGTAATTGTAAAATGAATAAGAACCAGTGCATGATGGTAACATGAATAATAATAACAACCATGTTTGTTTGGGGTTTATTTTCTAGATTTTAACCTGCATTGTGCAATTTGACAGATAAACAGATACTATGCAGTGTTGTCATTTCCCTTGGAAGCCTAGGGTTTCTACTACCCTACAGCTGGGTTTACATTCCTGTAAGAATAGGACTGAGAATGCTGTTGGACGGATTCTGACTATGCAGCAATGTGACTAATATCCCCTGGGAAAGGAGAACATAGTGCCGCTGATGTATCAGTACTTGCAAGAATAAAGCATTTGAAAATATTTAGTCTTGCTTATAGAGCAGTCCCTCCAATTCCAGAGCAAGGCCCAAGAAAGCTCCAGTCCTATGTTTTCAAGACAGATTTTAATTTCCATGTCAGTTCATGACTGTCCATTTACACGAAGTTCTGACTAGAACCCTGTGTGTCAAGATATGACTGTCAGTAGTGATTGTGGCAATTGTCTTTATCTTTCCTGTTTCATATCATCCAGGGATTAGGAAGCTATCAGCTCTTTGTTTATATGAATTGGTTTTGCCTTGTGTAAAGCCATATATTGTTATGTGAATAACCACCATGTAAATTAATACATAATAAGCACTGCAATGAGACTGTTTGTGTAGACAAAATGATCCCAGCTGAGCACTGTTAGCCATTAATTTTTCCTTCTCTTCTTTTTCGTAGGCTGATTTCCTGTAGAACATTTCTGATTTAATTACATATTTTTATTGTTTAGCATATTTTGCTCAGATAATCAACATACATTAAGATATTTACATAAAAATAGGTCCTGGCCAATAATCAACATGCTACCATATATAAAAAATAAACTTGATCCTTGATATCAGAGTATTTGTTTGCCTCTGAGGACTCCTTCTGAATTCTCTGAGTTTATTCCACTTAGTGCATGTTGGGGTAGCATCTTGCTTATCCGGCCCATGAGTATCTGGCCAGGTTCCATCTGGTCCTTGTCACAGGCACTCAGGAACAAATGATAAGGATCGCCATAGACACTTGATTTCTGTGTCTCTCATGCTCTGCCAATGGATATATTGCTCCTGATTACTCCCAGTCCCTCTTGGCCAAAAGCAAGAGCAAGGTTGGCTCCTGAATTTGAGGCTCTTGTGTAGTGGAGCAAAGAACTCAATTCTAATTCCTGTGTATGTGTTTGTGTGAATCATAGGAAACACTTCTAATAAATCTGAAGTATTGAATCTAATCACACAATTTCAGAGGTTATTCTTTTGTTGTTGAAATAGATGTTCCAGATTGTTAATTTGTATGCTCTAGGAATGTTCTCTTCAATGTAACATGATTCTTTAGTTAGCAGAAATAATACTTTCAGGAAGAGATCAATTTGAGCGCATACAATTTCAAAAAAAGAATAACAATTTTGAGGTAGAGCTATTAAGGCAAATGATGTTTGTGGAGGGGCATAAGACATGAAGTCAGATAGGCATCTAACTGTTCAGATACATTTGTGAAGTCTGACAAAGTAATTGTGTAACAAGTAAAAATCTTGTGAAATCGCATACTTCTACTAGGATTAAACCTACCTAAATAACGATTTTTAAGCAGGCAGAAGGACAAGTGTGCATGAAATATTTATCTTTTAACTTCAGAGCCTCCAGAGAAACTTTATTCTTTGACTTCAAAGGGAGCATCCACTGCCAAATAGAGATAGAATACTGTCTTTTTTTTATTTTTTTAAATTACAGTAACTGGCTCTCATGTCCTTAGCATGTTTAGGAAAATGATGCTTCCCTCAGGACTGATTTCTCATTTACTACTTAAAAATATTATATGTCTCAAGGGACATCTCTAAAGGCATCATAAACTCTCTTTTTCCTTCTGCTTTCATTTGTTTGATATTATGAATCCTACTACTCCCTAATGTATCATGTGAGGTAGCTGAAGTACATGCTCTTGCTGCAACTGAGATGTGAAGGAAGGGATACATGTGTAGG